ATATGCTAAATATTCAATATTCCCTTTTCTAGACAAGAATAATTTGAAATGGAAGTTCTAGCATGTTCCTCTCACATCCAGTGGAGCTCCCTGCTACAGCAATGAGTGGAAGCTTTGGGAGACAAATCCTCGCTGCCTTGAGCGTAGGCTGGAGAATGGAGAGCCACATAAAGCTGGGTGTCCAGCTCTGACAGGCTGCAGGTCCTAGTGCAATCCTAAGTGTGGCATTTGGTCAGGGAAGTTGACTCCAGACTGCATGGCACTTTCTGGGTGACCCAGAGTTCCAAAGAGGTGGGAAGGAAAGGCATGAAGAGGAAAATGGCCAGTGGCTAATGGCCAGAGAGGGAGTACCTGTGCCCTCCTCCTGGTGACATCACAAGAGTCAGCACCAATCCCAAAGACGGTGCCCTTAGAAGTGGCCTCACATTGCCTCCATGGGGTGCTCCCTGCGCCCTGGGATGGCATATGTCCAAGCTGGAAGGGACACTGCCCCATGGCTTCAATTCATTGTTGAGTTACAGGCTCAGAAAGCCTACAGTCCCCTCCTACAGCTCACAGCGGGTTAGCGGCAGCACCAGGGAGGGACTCGTGTCTCATCCCTTTCTCTATTCCCACTCTCCCTGTGGTGGACTAGAGGCTCCTAAGGAAGAACAGAGACAGTGTGGGTGATCCCAGTATAAGCCACTGAATGGGGCCCAGTGGCAGCAGAGATGCCACGGTAAGGGCAAAGGTCATCCCAAGGGAAGGTCACAGTCCAGCCACCCGCCCACCCAAGAGCCAGCTGGGGTTAGGACCTAGTCCCCCCCTACAGTCCGAGGAGGAGGAGGCAGGCAGGTACAGGCAGGACAAGGCCAGAGAGCATCCCAAGGGAGCCGGCATCAGGCTCCTCCCTTCATCACTGCAGCACGCTCCACTTCAGCCAGGCAAGAGGGTGGTCGGCCCCTTGCAGGACCCTGAGCTGCCTCCCAGGACTCCAGGATCAGCCCTCCAGGGACCAGTGCCCAAGCACTCTCAAAGCCAGGGCCACGGTGGGCTGTTTTTACCCCAAACTGCCATGTGCTCACATGCCCTGGAGCTGCAGACATGACGCTCAGAGCTCCAACGTGCGCCTGGGAAGATTGATCTGGGCTTGTGGGGGTTGAGGACTCTGGATCCAGGGAAGGGCCTGGTCTCCAGGCAAAATCCCAGGGCCTCTAGAGCCCTGGGTCCCCAGCTTTCATCCTGGAAGTGCCCTATCTCCCAGGCCTGCAAACACTCCCCCTTCTGAATCTCACACAAAGGCCTCCTATCTCAGCCTACCTCCCTCAGGCCTAGTCTCAGGGCCTGGCTGAGCTCCATGATGCCCTTGGGGCCTGGCTCACACTCCAGCCTGCATCCCAGCTCCCATGGGTAATTGTCAAGGCTGGCTCTCCCCTTGATCCTTAGAAAGGCTGAGAATCAAGGAACCAATACAGCAGCCAAAGCCCAAATGACCCCTCACCCAGCCAGGCGAGGGCCTGCAGGGAATACAGGGGACAAAAAGGGACCAGATAGCTATGAACACCAGGAATCCTGTGATGGCTCCTGCAGAGACCCAGTGGGAGGCTCAGAGTCCCAGCCAAGAGCTCAATGGTCTTCGAAAGCCTTTGGCTAGCCAGCCCCAGGAACATTGGGCCCCAAGAGCCATCTCCTCCCCCTGGAACTTCTGACAGTCAAAGGATGCACCATTCTGACCCTGGGGCAGGCTTGACCTAGACAGTGGATCCAACTCCCAGCCACCGCCCTCTGCCTTTGTGACGTCAGAGCCTGGTTGGGCGCGGCAGCGTACGGACCCTTCTAGGTAAGGTTACTGTGTGCCATGAGCTCCAGTGGCAAAGGAACTGGCCTCCTGAACAAAAAGAGGCCAAGAGGGAGAGAGCCCTTTAGGAGGGGAGGAGGGGAAACCCATACTTCTGCCCCGATGCCTTGCAGCTGATTCCCTCCTGATAGTGGTGAGGAAGCCCTAGCCCTCAGCCAGCCTCCGATGGGCACCCAAGGGCCACATCGCACACGACTCTGAGAGGAGGACCACTGGGAATCTCTTGTCCATCAGCCAGGGAGGGACCTCAGGTTCTCTAGCTCCACAAAAGAGGGTGCATCTGTGGAGCACCGCCCCCCCTCAGTTCCCTTACCTAGACCTGATAGAAATGCAGCTTCTGCCCAAGCTGTACCCTTAAGGCATGCGCCAGCAAGAGCTCCAGGCTGATGGAAGGCTGGAGGACCCCCTAACTCCCTATCTCTGATAGCATCAGAAATCTGAAGAATGAATTATTTCGTCCTGCAAAGTCTAAGCTGCAACTCAAGTCCCCTTCCCAAGTCATGCCGAAGGCAGGCCTCCTCCCCTGCCTGGAGAGCCTCTGCCTGCCCTCCAGGCCTCTTGCCAGCCTGCTTCCACAGGCATCCCAGCAGAATGGGGGCCGGGCCTTGGTGTTAACACAGACCAGGACCTAAGCCTAGCTCACCCCTGGGGCTACGTGCCCCAAGAAAAGTTACTTTGCCACCCTAAGCTTCCATTGCCTTGACTAGAATAGGAATGGGTGACATCTGCTTCCCAGGATGAGCATGATGCCCCTCCTTCTCCCCACAGTCCTCTGCCTCTGGGCCAAAGGCTGGGCCCTTCCCAGAGTTCAGTCAATACCAGCCATAGATCTAACAGGGCACTGGGGAGAAGATGGGGTGAGGAAGGGTCATCAGACCCATGACTTCTGACCCTCCTCCCCCACCTGCCAATCCATGCAGCTCCTATGGGAATCCAGTTCCCTGGTTCTTAGGCATTGGGGTGGATTAAAGGAAAGAAGTCCTGCCTGCTTGCCAAAGAGCCTCAGTCCTGAAACGCGGACGGGAGCACACAGTCTCCCAATCCACTCCCTGCCCACTGTCCTCCAATACGTCCCACTGGGGTCCTCCAATGGCAAAGGGGACAAGAGGCCGCACCATCCTCTCCCATCACCCACCTTCCCAGCACCTCCATCTCGGACCCTTTGCCTGGAAAGAGCAGCCCAACTCCCCCGATGAAACCACTTCCCCAAGCATCATTTTCAGAGGAGCGACACCTCTGCCTGACTACAGGAGCCTACGTGATTGTGGCCATCCCTGCCTCCCACTGGCTTCCGACAGATACACATCCTTGGAGCGGAGAACTAGCTGAATGAGTCTCACCAGCTCCCAGACAGCCACACCAGCAACCTTCTCTGAAACCTTTAGCCCACCAATCCCCCTGAATATCCCTAGATCCAGCTCCTGAGCCCCTGGACCTACTATTAGGCTCTCTCTCCTCCCCACCTCACCCTCCTGCACACACAAGGCCCTGTGGTGCACTTCCAAGCAAGAGTTTCCCTGAGGATCAGGCTCAGGACCCTCTTCCCCCCATCCCCATGCTGGGGTGCCGGAATGCTGTAGCCTACAGAGCTGGAGAGGCCGAGTTGGGTCCATCTAGCTCCCCCCCACCAACCTCTGGCTCCCCCCTTGGGCTGTTCATCTGGTCACGTCAGGCCCACCAGCTGAAGATAGTGAGGAGGTGAATGGCAAAGCCCAGATATGGGTCAAGCTCGCCTCCAGGGCCGGGAGTCGGAGACATCTCCTGTCTGTACACTTCCTCCAACTGTTAGCTGTAAGCCCTCTCTCCATTAAGCCAACAGGGCTGGCGGGCTTCGAGAGCCTGGACGCCCCATTGCTGAGGCAAAGGGAGGGCTGCCGCCTGGCAGAGGAGCGCCAAAGACAGATTCGGCTGGGCTTGCGTCTGCCCAGACGCCTTCCTCCAAGAGACCCCGGCCAGGACTTGGGCACAAATCCCTCCAGGCATCCTATCCACTGTGAGGGTCCCCAAGGGGTGTGGACCTTGGGAGGGGGATAAAAAAGGAATCCCTTGAGCAACCAGAGTACTGTCCACACCCTTCTCTGGATGTCAGAATGGGGGAGCGGGGGGCACCTGGCCTCGAGGTCATAGAATTTTCGAAGAGATAGGCATCTTCCCTGGGCTCTGAGCTCCTCTCTCCCCCAGGACCATGGGGCTTCTGTCGCCGATCCCTACCCAACGGGAGGCAGGGAATGCAGGCCACCACGGGGCTCACTCAGACGGGGCAGAACCGAGCAAACGCCGGTCAGAGTTGGATTTTCCAAAATAAAAAAAAAAGAACCTCCAAGATCACATAACCCCCCTCCCCAAACCACACCGGCCACCACCCCCCTTGGCTCCCTTCTCCATCCTGACTCGGAATCGCCGGCGCAGTTACCAAAGCTCACAAGGACGGGATCTGTAGGCGCCCAGATGCAGCTGAGGGTGGGAGAGGCGAGGGGGGGTGTCTCGGAAATGCCCAAAATGGGGTTGGAGAGGGCGGGCGAGAGAGGAAGGGAAGAGGTAGGCGTCCATGACGGCCTCGACATGTCCAAAGTCTCCCCGCGAGCTGCCAGCTCCCAACTTGTTTACTTGTCAGCGTGTTTGTTTCCAAAAGGAAACAGTTAAAAGACCTGGGCTGGGAGGCGAGCAGCCCCCGGCACCTTCCCTCCCGGGCTCGCGCCGCCGCTGTCGCTGTCGCTGTCACTGCCGCCGCGGGGAATCGAACCTCGTCTACTTTACGCCACTTGCGCGTGGCCAAACTGTTGCTATTCCGCGGGGGGCAAAGAAGCCGGCTCGCGCCCTCGGCGACGAGCCCCGGCGGGTGGGGGTGGGGGTGGGGGCGGGGGCGGGGTGGGGGTGGGGGGCGGGCGCGGGAGCCGGGCCCTGCGCGCCCCGGGCCGGCCGGGGTCCCCTCCGCGGGCCGTCCCCCGCGCGGCCCCGGCTCCCGCCTGCCAGGGCCGGGTCACCTGGGCTGCGCAGCCCGAGAGCATCTCCCGAGCCACGGCGAGCCTGACGCGCGCCCCGCGGGCAGGGGGAACGGGCGGCGGGCGGCGGGCGGCGGGCAGCGGCGAGCCGGGGCGGGCGGAGGGCGGCGGGAGCCGCGGAACCAGAGGGGAGGCGGGCTGGGGAGCGGCCGCCGACTTACATGGAAGTGATATTCCTGGAGATGTCCGTGATGTTGATGCTGGCGTTCCCATTGCTGTTCCCTGAATCCTGCCCTTCCAGGAGGGGGAAGAGGTTCCCATCGTCCGGCCGCCGGCAATTGATCTCAGTCTTGCTGCAGACACAATTTGCAGGGCAAGCCAGCACGGAGCCCACATAGTCCAGCCAGACGCTTCCCAGCAAGAAAATCCGCCAGAAACTACACTTGGCTGGGCAAAGAGAGACATCCATCTCCGATCGTGGCTTCTAAAAAAGAGGAGGAGGAGAGGAGAGGGGGGTGGGGTGGGGGGAGTGGGGAGAGCTGGGGGGGAAGGAAACAAAGACGGCGAGGGAGGGGGGAAGGGGGAGGGGGGCCTCTGCCTTTGAAACGCCGTGCGATCAGATGCAAAATCCTTCAGCGTCTGAAACCATCGCGGCCGCCGCCGCCGCCGCCGCCGCCGCCGCCGCCGCCGCCGCCGCCGGGTGGGAGCCGCGGGGAGCGCCTAGTGGCGCGGTCTGCCTGGCATGGTGGCCGGCTCGGCGCTCGCCGGCACGCCGCTCCGGGGGCTCGGGAAGCGAGCCGCGCTCTCCGACTCCGAGACTTTGCAGGGTTGCAACAGACGGTGGGGAGGCAAAAAAGAAAAAGGGGGGGGGAGGAAAAGGAAAATATGGTGCTAAAGTCACCAAGTCCCACCTACTGGGCAGAATTAAAACGGACACACCTGCAAAACACACACGCACACGCACTCACACATGCACACACCCGGAGCCCGGGGGGAGGAGGAGGAGGAGGAGGAGGAGGAGGAGGAGGAGGTGGAGGAGGCGGAGATGCAGTCGGAGCTGCCGCAGCCGCCGCGAATGGCTCGCCGCGCGCCTGCAGAAATGTACAAGTGCTCGGAGCCTTACGAAACGCACGGGTTATCGGAGCGGCTTCCTCGGCTCCCTCCCTCCCTCCCGCTCCCCCTCCCTCCTCCCCTCCCTCCTCGCGGCCTCCTCCCCCCCGCCCCCCGCCCCCCCCCCCCCCGGCTGGGAGCGGCAGGCGAGCGGAATCTCCCCCCGCCCTGCCTCCCCTTCCCTTCCCCGCACCCCACTCGCTCCCCGCCCGTCCTCCCTCCCCTCCTCCCTCCCCACCCACCCACCCACCCGCCGGCTCGCGGCTCTCGCCCGCACCGCCACCCGCAGCCGCGCGCCCGCCCGCTCCACGCCTCGCGGCCCGGCGCCCGCTCGCCGCAGCCCAGGGTAAACCGAGGCGGAAGGGAAAAAGTTGCAGTCGGGCCCGGGAGGGTCTGGGCTGGGGGGGGAGTTGGCGAGCGGGCCGCGCGACGCCGAGAGGCGCTCTCCTTCCCACTTTTTGGCCCTCGCGCTGCCCGGTGTTTTGCTGCAATCCGGACCGCGAGAGCAAGGGAGATGGACGCGGCCGAGGTGACCGGGGAGTGCTCCCGGGCCCGGGGGGGGGGGTGCCCGGGGGGGGGGGCCGGGCTCGGGGACGGCCGGCCGGGGCTGCGGGAGCGCACCCGCGCCGCAGAGAGGCGCCCGGAGCCGGGGACCCGGGGCCGCGGACGCGCGGTCCTCCGTCTAAAGGACACTCCTTTCCGTGCCCGCGAGTCCGGGAGCGGGGCTCGGCCGGGAGGGGACCGCGGGGCACGGCCGGGTGGGCGCCCCCCGCGCCCCGCGCCCCCGCGCCCCCGCGCCTTCTCGGCGGCGGGCTTTGCGCGGTCAGCCTCGGGCAGGCGGGGAGCGGGGAGGGCAGGAAGCAGCGCCGAGAGGGCTGCGCTGCGGAGCCGAGGGGGAGCCGAGGGGAGCCGAGGGGGAGCCGAGGGGGAGCCGAGGGGGCCCCGGGCGAGCTGTGCTTGCAGGAAGGACGCGGCCGGGAAATTGAGATGCAAGGGGCATTTTTTGGCAAGCAGGCCAGCACCGTCAGAGGCCGGCTTCTTGGGCTCGGCCCGCGGGTGCGCTGCTCCCGCTGCCCGGTGAGGGGGCGGGCGGGCTGCTTTCTCCGGATTCGGGGGCGCAGGACCTCCCTCCTTCCCTCCCACACAAGCACCCCTTCCTGGTAGGGGCGCAAAGCAGGTGCAGCCTTCGACGCGAGCTCACATCCCGTCGGGAGAAGAGAAGGTCCCCGCTTTTTGCCTTGGTAGGATTTTGGTTGGTTGGTTTTGTTTTGGGGTTTTGTTTTGTTTTGTTTTGTTTTTTAATAAGACGCCCAAATGCCAAATGTGAGCTGTTTGCGGAGAAAACCAGAGCATTCGCTGTCAGAAAGGAAAAGAAAGGGTTAGGGCAGTCCTAGCCGGCAGACACACTACGGCATTCACACGCAGAAGAAAGCTGGGCTCTCCTCCCCGATCTGGGATGAGGGCAGGCGAGGAAGCGAAGACGCTGAATTCAACGGCATCCAGCATCTGAAAGGCTTCTCCCCCGCCCCCCTATGGATTCCGATGCAGGTCATGCAACTTGCAGGCAAGATGGGGGAAGGGGTATGCGGGTGCCACCCGCCCACCCCAGGCGCAACCACAGACAGACCAGGCGCCTGCGAGTGGCACTGTCGCTGTGAGTAAACTTAGAAGGAAAAAAAAAAAAAAAGGAAAGAAGGGAACATGTCTATAAAAGGTAGTTTTCCCGACTTCCCCTTACGGTCGCCTTCCCCTTGGCCTCGGTGAGACTTTCACCCCCTTGTTGCCATTATGGCCTTGTCGCCAGGCTGGCATTTTGCCCTCCCACCAGCAGGAGGGGACAGAGAGTGGAGACCTCCTTAGTCTGGCAAACCAGTTCCTACTGGCCCCAGGCCAACCCTGATACCCTTGGTCCCCTGGGAAGTTCCCTGCCCTTGGAGTGCCACTCTGAGAGAGGCCCAGGAATACCTACTTGAGAGCCTGGGAACCTGAGGCGGAGTCTATGGGTGGCCTCTCTCAGGAAGTGGCAGGTGGCAGTAGAGACACACACAGAACCTTTCTCAGACCCCTCCAGGGGAGGTTCCAAAAAGCAGGGAGTGCCAAATGGATTGGGCCCAGCAGCACTTCTCCAGCCTAGAACTAAAATAGTTGTATCTAAACGGTGCCCAGCACACTTTTGCAAGGAGAGAGAGAAATGATTTTTAACATTTCCAGCAGAGAAGGGGAGGTGTCCCTAAGAACAAATTTTTAAAAACTCTGAAAACCCCTTTAGAGATGATTTTAAAAAATGTACCCAGTGAAGCAAGGGGGCCCTGATGGAACAAGAAGCCTTTCATCCTAACAGTAAAATGGGATTAAGATGGGATGTTATGTTTATGCTAGAGCTCTGGGCGTGAGCAGGAAGTGGCAGTTTAAAAAGAGGGAGGCCCTTTTCACAGCGGATAATAGACTAGGAGTAGAGAGAGCAGAGTTCTAGTTCTGACCCCAGGCAAATCACATAAGCCTCTGGGCCTCAGCTTTCATGTCTATAGAAGGACTAGGTTGGACCTCAGTATCCAAAGTGAGGCCCTCTGACCAGTAGCATCCACATCACCAGGAGGCTTGTTCACCTGCGGGATTGGAGGCCTCACCCCAGACCTACTAAACCAGAATATGTTTTAACAAGTTCCCCAGGTGATTCATAAGTACACTGTAGTTCGAGAAGTACAAAGATGACTCCCAAAGTCCCTTCTAGCTTGAACATTCTCCGGCTCTATATGGACCTGGCCTGGAGAGACTTAGAAGAGAAGAGGGATCCATGTTGTGGATCCTCAGAATATTATTCAGCCAGGGGAGGAAAAAGTGGGTGTTTCAGGAGCAACCACCTTGTTAAAAACAGGCTTGCGTAAGTTTCACTATAAACTCAAGAAGGTGCTCACCCCACCCAGAAAAGTACACTCTTGCTTCCATATGTCTTAACCCTAGAGATTCAGTGGCGCCAGATTCAGTGGAGGAAGACAGAGAAAGTGTCCATTGTACACTCCCTGCTCTTGGTCAGTAGGGGTCCAGAGCATTTGGGGTCTCTTGTTTCCTTGCTAAGAATGTCGTGATTGACAAGGAATAATGCCTGACCCGTAAGGATTCCCAGTCTGCGGCCATCACTGAGTCCTGAGAGATCAGGACCCAGCTCAGCATCCTTCCAATGGGGATAATCCCTCCCATATCTTCCTGCCAGCTGCAGTCTTAGAAATGAAGACACTTATGGATGCCTGGGTGTCTTAGCAGTTGAGCGTCTGCCTTCAGCTCAGGGCATGATCCAAGAGTCCTGGGATCGAGTCCCACATCGGGCTCCCTGCAGGGAGCCTGCTTCTCCCTCTGCCTGTATCTCTCTCTCTCTCTCTCTCTCTGTCTTTCTCATGAATAAATAAAGAAAATCTTTTCAAAAAGAAAAAAAAGAAATGAAGACACTTAGCGATCATCAATCAGAGGCAGGAGTGGGCAAAGTTTTTTGAACAGAAAGTAATGCTTTAGAAACCCTTTATATCTGAGCAGCTGCCTGCTGGTACCAAGGGTTTGGAGAAGATGGGAACCCAAGATTTGGATGTGGTTTCCCATCAGACAGGCCAGAATGGGGGCTGGCTCCCAGAACCTACTGGTCCAACCTTCCTGACCGAAGAGAAACCAAACATGTCTCACACTCTAGCTATGTGAGCACCTGAGATTTCTTTTTCTTGTTTATAAGGCATCCCCAAAGCCAAAATTCCTTGCCATCTAGGAAAGGAGGAAGGAAGTGGAGACTCAGGGAGCATACAAACAAGCAGCCGACCCAGGAATCATCCTCCCAGCACCTCTCTCCACTTCAGACCTCCACGGGCCTGCTGTTCATGGGTCTGCCTTTCTAACCCAGCCACATCAGCTTTTTTAGGGAGTGGCCATGTTACAGGGGTGCAAGCCAGACCTCAGGCATTTTGGATTCACCGACCATGCCCTACTGCTATGGTGTCAGCCTCAATTCAGGAGCTGTGCTGCCAGATTTTCTAGTCTGAGCAGAAAGGAGTCCTGCTGCCCCAACTCAGAGCTGCGAAAGAGGCCAGTCATGGTACTGAAGATAACCCAAGAAGCACAAGAGGAGACAAAGGGAAAACTGTGCCCCAGAGCCCCTGCTGTTGCAAAGAGCTATTGGAGCTGCCAGACTTGAATTTGTGTGGGAGAGAGGAGCCTGTTTCCTGGGTGGCCTGAACTCAAGGTGGGGGTGGAGGGAAGGCATGGCTGAAGGCTGGGAACATGTATCCAGAACAGGAGCCCATGAGGGAGTTGTGACCACACATGGAGAGGGAAAGCCCTCCTATGAAGAGGGACAGTTGAAACCAAGGTGTCAAAGGAAGCAGAAAAATCTAAGGATGGAAGGTCCCAGCTCAGGACCCTGGCTCAAGTCCCAAGATTTTGGGCATGCACCTGCCAGGAGGCTGGAGCTGCCTGCCAGATGGGATAGAGCCCCTTGTCTCTCATCCTTGTCCATTACAGATTTTCTGAGGGTTACCTAGATTCCCCTGTGCTGCCCTGGTGGGAGTGTCTGAGGGGAGCTTGGGGGTCCTCACCAGTGATGCCTCTACTTATTCTGCTTACCCGGGATGAGAGATTCATAGATTCTCTGGGCTAGAAAGGAATCTCAATCCCAAAGACCCCTGACCCCACCTGATACACACATCCCCTCAATGACACCCCCAAGGGCCTCCTGTCCCCACTTGAACACCTGCAGGGACAGGAGGCCCATACACCCAAGACTACCCAATCTGTCTGCATATAGCTTTACTCCTCAGATAGCTTTCAGTTTGAAATAAGAAAACCAATCTCCCTGAAGCATCCATCCTCAGCACCACCCGTGCTATCACCTAGAACCCCAGGGAAAAGTCTAGTCTATAAGCCAGTCAGGAGGCTGCCCACCTCTCATCAGCAAAGTAGCCTGAGTCTCCTCCTGATGCTTGCAAAGCACAGTTTTCTGAGCCTTCCCCACTATGGTCATTGGTAAAGCATTCAGGATGGTCAATGGTC